CAAACTTCTGTCCAAGTGTGGTACAAATCCAGGATAGTTTAAGAAAGTTGTTAAAATTTTAAAAACTTTAACCACAGAGTGAATGTTATATTTCCTGGCAGAAAAACTAAGTCCATTTATAAGTAAAATACGGAAAAAATATTTTTACAAAATTTACTTCTGGATACTATCTTATGATCATAAACAAGCTTCTTTCCAAGTTTGGTAGAAATCCAGGATAGTTTAAGAAAGTGATTAAAATTTCAAAAACTTTAACCACAGAGTGAATATTTGTGGCCGCCGCCGACGGAATGTAGGATCGCTATGTCTAGCTTTTTCGACAAAAGTCGAAGGCTCGACAAAAATCATGGAAAAAATATTTGGTATTCTGAATTATAAACTGTTTTATATTTACCAAAAAAAATTCAACTGGTATCTCATCAGTGTAAAATTATTTTTTTGGTACTAAAGAACCTTATGAAATTGATTTCAAATATTATATTACTAAAAAGATGCTTGATTACCTACCAACATGTGAACAATATCAGACATCCAAGTCTTACTCCCAACACCATGAAAACATCATCATTATAACAACCTAAAAATAAAAAAAATAAAAAAAATAATTACTTGTTTTAATTACAGATCAATCTGTCTCTAAGAAGACTAACAAAATAATGCTATGTTTCATTTATTTAAACCTGTTATACATTACTGTATCATCTTCACTATATAAACTTAAAACTGCTAGAGATAGAAATTGACCTTGTACAAGTGCACGTATATGTATATGACAATGATTTTGGAATATTCAATTACAAAATCAGATGGTTTTGTTCTCTTTTGATGGTTCTTAAAATCATCAATAACAGTGATTTTACGCTCACTCAGTCTGTCAGAGGCCTTCCAATAGGAATTTAAATAGAATAAAAGAGCAAAGTACATGTAGGCACAAGAGAAGAAAAAAAGAAAATAATTATTCAACATTTAAATCAACACATAAGGTTTAGTGCTCTGCTTGTAATTCGTACTATTTGATATAGGCATTTAGAACCTTTGGCGACCCCAGTTTAAATGTCTATAACACATTCAATGTGACAAGTGGGCGTTACAGACCAACTTTCACCTTATCTGACCCAGTCAATAGATAACATAAGAGCTCCAAGAAATCGTCTTGCCCACGCTTGTATGAAAATGATTCTATATCAATTCAAAATTCAAACAGTTACAGACTTTGCATAAAAATTTGTTCGACCCAAATAAGTTTTAAAATTCATTGATAATAACTTGCATACAGTTGGTTTCTATCCAACACAGCTCACTCGATACCAGACAGAAAACAAATGTAAGACTAGATACTCTAAAAATCAAACACTGATAGAAAAGAACCCTTAAAAAATAATGTTAAATGCCTATATATATATTATTACCAAGGGTCTGGAAACAGTCATATATGCCAGTCATGTCCTAAGATGAAACTATTTGTCCTAAACGAGTAATTGGGATTTAGGACAAATTTTATTTTTTTAAAGAAGAAATTTCGGTCATTTCATTGACTCAATGATTGAAATCGGATTTCTTAATCGCCATTTTGCACTGTCTTGTGTAAGTTGTGATCACTTGTTTTTGTTTATAATCCCTTTCCTGTAATAAAACTGCCACTCTATTAAATTGATAATCCTGAGGGCCCTCCTAATATCTATATCAATGCCTCCGGGAAACATTGGCTAATGATCGCTAATCACTTTTTACCTGTGGTTTTAATTCACACCTGACAGTGATAACAAGCTCAGTCTCAGAATAATATCTTAACAAAAATTGAAATTCCCTGACAAGTGTATTCATTATTTAATTACTTTTCAGCAAGGACAATCATCAGATCTGATTTAAAAATTAAACCTAAATTTACGGAGAAAAAAGTATTTTTTCATGTGCTTTATTTACTATATAATATGCATGCGTGAAATTGTCTTCAGCAAATTTAATGTTTAATCGTAAAATGCAAATTGATTTCATGCTAAATTAAACGAGTGCAACTATTGTCTGTTACATTCAAACACTTTTAAAGGTAATAAAATAAAAAAGCCATAAAATGCTGGTGATTTCCTGTCAATTTGATAAACAAAACAAATCCCGGAAATGAATCCGGAATTATTTGTACTTTAACTTTATCGCAAACTTCCGGTTTTACTTTTGTCAAATCGAAAGAAACGTAAGCAATGTCTGAGAGATTTACCATTTTGAGTCATTAAAATCATTTCAATTTTAAACTATTGTCTTCCCTAAACTGTTCTTCATGGTAATGGCAAGACATTTACTTACCGGTAGTAAATGCGATGAAACAGCAATACAAGTTCGTTAATGCTATGAATCTAGTCAACTTGACCGACAATTTGGAAAGGGGCACCAACTTTTCAAAATGACCGAAATTGTGTGGAAAAATTTCCGGATCCTTGATTATTACCATAAAATTTGTGGAATATATAAACTTACCACATATTTTTCATGGTAAAGCCTCAGACTTGGTGAAGATTAAATTGACCATCTCCCTTAGAGCTGCTTTCCCGGCTGACAAGGTGGCTCTCCTCATCATCTTTACATCTTTTTTTTTTAAATATAGTTTAAATTTATACATTAAATATATCCGATGCATTTCCAATAAATCCCCTTTCTTGAAAATTTCAGCAAATCAATTGTTAATGACCCAAGATTTCTCCCACCCTGCATACTTATTATCTAGAGCTCTGCTTACATTTATTTTTTTTTATTACAGAGCTCTAAATAATAGTCAATATTAGCTAGTATACATCTGATATTAAAAAAAAATGTACAAATATGAATATCCAAGTAGATGAAAATCCTAACATTGAGGGAATTTCAGGTATGTGGAGTTAAACAGGGGTATAATAAATTGCCTCCCTTTGACCCAAATTTCACCCTGTTCGGACTCCACATCCTTGTTATATTAAACAAAATAAATAAAATAGTACAATTGAAATTAAAGAATAGATTGATAACAAAAATCTAACACATTTCAATAAAATATTTCGTACTGATCGACTTATGGCGGCAGAGTGGTCCTATAAGCAGTTCAACTACTGTATCACTAGCTTGTCAACACTGAGAACCCTCACATGAAATGTGTAACTTCATTCTTAATTTGACTAGGGTTTGCCTGTTTTCCTGATGGTGATGTTTTCACCAGGCACTCTGGCTGTCTCCACAAATAAAAATTTACAGCCAAAATTATAGTAAATCATGCTAAAGTGGTGTTTAACACCAAAAATTCGTAAGGGTTCCACGGAACCCAGTGTCTCGCCTACTTTTTCTGTTAATCGCAGGCTCAACAAAAATGAGGAAGTAAATCAATAAAAATATTCCTCTTGATACTATCTTTTGATTGAAAGAAGCTTCTGTCCAAGTTTGGTAAAAATCCAGGATAGTTTATGAATCTAATAAATGTTTAAAAACTTTAACTGCAGACTGAATGTAATGTTAACTGGAAGAAAACAAAATTTCCTTCTAGATACATTGTACTAGCATTTGATCATAAACAAGCTTCTGTCCAAGTTTGGTACAAATCCAAAATAGAATAAGAAAGTTATTAAAATTTTAAAAACTTTAACCACAGAGTGAATATGTTGTTTCCTGGCAGAAAATCTAAGTCCATTTAAAAGTAAAATACGAAAAAAATGGATTTATTTTTTTACAAAATTTCCTTCTAGATACTAGCTTTTGATCATAAACAAGCTTTTGTCCAAGTTTGGTACAAATCCAAAATAGTATAAGAAAGTTATTAAAATTTTAAAAACTTTAACCACAGAGTGAATGTGTTGTTTCCTGGCAGAACATCTAAGTCCATTTAAAAGTACAATAAGGAAAAAATGGATTTATTTTTTTACAAACTTTACTTCTAGATACTATCTTATGATCATAAACAAGCTTCTGTCCAAGTTTGGTACAAACCCAGGATAGTTTAAGAAAGTTATTAAAATTTAAAAAACTTTAACCACAGAGTGAATGTGTTGTTTCCTGGCAGAAAAACTAAGTCCATTTATAAGTAAAATACGGAAAAAATGGAATTTTATTTTTACAAAATTTACTTCTGGATACTATCTTATGATCATAAACAAGCTTCTGTCTAAGTTTGGTAGAAATCCAGGATAGTTAAGAAAGTTATTAAAATTTCAAAAACTTTAACCACAGAGTGAATATTTGTGGACGCCGCCGACGGAATGTAGGATCGCTATGTCTCGCTTTTTCGACTAAAGTCGAAGGCTCGACAAAAAATCAACCAATCCAATTTCAACAAGATGTTCTTCAACTATGCCTTTTGTAAAATTATTCTTTAAAAAATATCACCTTGGTTACAAACCAAAATCAGCTAAAAATGACAAAAAAAGTGCAAAAAATATATTTCTAACTTCTTAACTTCGTAAATTCCTCTGCATTAGAGCACCCTTGTCACATATCTTAAAGATATTAAAATTAACATGAAAGAAAAGGTTGTAAGGGGATATATTTACTGCAGACCATTATTCATCACTTTAGTTTACACTAGAGAGGCATTTGCTATGGTAAGGTAAAAAAAACAAAAATAATCAAAATTTTTGCTAAGAAATTTAGTGGGAATATTCACATCTGCAGATTTAATTGCATCAACTACATGTATAAAAAAAACTTGTAAAATTTGAAAGTATCTCAAATCCTAAAATAACAAAAAGATGGCAAAAATATATACATTACAATTTGCAAAAAAAAAATACATTTCAATAATTGAACATTTTTTTTTCTTTTTTCTTTCTTTTTCTTTTAGATTATCCATTCTTAAACTGCTGGAAGTGTTTTGACTAGACATGAGTATAAACAGAAAATAGAAAGAATTTTTGTAATGTCAAATACAAGTAAACCTACAACTTCCAATCTTGTTGAAAATGGAGAATCTTTACATTTTTTTTTTGTAAAAAACACAAAAATAGTCTGAATTACATTCTTTACTGTTGCAGTTATATCACACAACCATTCTATGCAGCCACAGTTATCTGAAAAAGAAATATACATTACTCATGAACATTGAAATAATATTTAATGCAAAACAATTATAATTAACTGAGCATTACAATTATAATATATAGAACATTTCTTTTTCTTTGTTATAAAGTGATTTGTTGACATAAATTTTAAAGTACCAGTATTTCTTAGCAATAAAACGATGAAAAACATGTCATTGGCTGATGTCTTGACAAATATCTTTTTAACATTGTTTTATAGCTATATATAGTATATCAGGCTATAACATACTTGATTGAATTTTTTAACATTTAGTCATGTTGAACCTTTATAGCTAGCTATACAATATAGGTTTTGCTCATGGTTGAAGGCATAGGGTGACATTTAGTTGCATCCACATCATTTGGTCTCTGGTTGATAGCTGTCTGAGCATTGGCATACATACCACACTTACATATTTTCATGTATGGGGACAACTACAGATAACAAAAAAACTGAAATCCCAAGATTTCGCATTGTACATTATACTTTTTGACTTCCCTTATATATCTTTATATCTCCTTCTAAATTGTTTATTCAACTATAAGTAAAGAAGACATTAATATGTAAGATTTACATCTGTGCCTAACAAAAATCTTGGGCTTTAAAATGCTCTTGGATGAAAAGTTCATAAATCTATGTATTGATTCTTACCATAAAAGTCAGCTCCAATGCCCACTCCCAGCTTCAATCCTTACAGACAAGCTGTGATGCTAACCTGAAATATAAAATGATAATTCATTAATAAAACCCTGTAACTCGGAAACGTACAATCTAAAATTTATAAAAAACAAAAGGGAGCTCATGTCAATAGATATAAACAATTCACCACAATTTCTCGCAAGTTGGTGAAAGCATTCTTGAGTTATTGTCCGAAAACTGGAAAACCCCCCCTTTTTAAATGAATAAAACCCCATAACTCGGAAACATAAAATCTAAAATTTATAAAAAACGAAAGGGAGCTCACGTCAATAGATATAAACAATTCACAAAAGCTTTATGCAAATTGGTTAAAGCGTTTTTGAGTTAATGTCCAACATGTTGATGACGGACGGACGGACAACGGTATACCATAATACGTCCCGTAAATGGGCGTATAAAAACTGTTTAAAAGATTCTTTGTTGGTATTATGTATGTATATTGAATAGATTGAATGATTGGTTGTTGGTTGCTTAAGGTCCAGTGGCAAATCATTAAATAGAAATAGTCTTAAAATGTGTTATATATGTCAAGAACATATGGATGAAAAAATCTTTTAAGCGTTCAAATCTTGTTTTTCCATAAAATATTTATAATACATTTGAGTTTTCCAAAACAGGACTAACATACTGGTACATACCTTTGTATTAGCTGTATAAGACCACCAAGTCTTATTCCCACACCATGAAAACATGTCTCAGAAAGAACCTGAAATGAAATAATCAAAATCAACACATTATACATTTTGTAAATCAATTTGTGTGTTACCGATAACCTAAAATTACTAAATATTGTTCTGATTTCTTATTGCAGGTAGACAATTGTATAAAATCTTTTTTTTTTAAATCAATATAAAAGATAGAAAAGTAAAAAAATGTCAAGATTTAAATTTAACTGCACAAAAAATATATCTGAATATTTTACAAAGTTATCTCCCATTGAATGCAAAATTGTGTTTTAAATTGTACTGGTCTTTTCTTGAAGTTTAATGACCATTTTTAGGATTTACTATTGATACTTTAATAGAAAATCTTGTTCATGTATCTTGTATCTTTAAATACTAAACTGGTAAATTAATTCATCAATGGTGTTTCAAATGCAATATTTCAGAAGGGTCTGTTATCTTAAAAGATCTGACTAAATTAAACTTGCCTTTTCTATTTTCATGGTAAAGAGTCAGACTTGGTTGAAGATTTAATTGACCATCTTCCTAAGAGCTGCTATCTTGGCTGACAAGGTGGTTCTTCTCAATATCTTATTATCAATCTATGTTGTGTCCATTTGTATGTAGAAAATAAAGTAACATACATAAAAAATATTAGATGCACTTTCAATTAATAAACTTTTTGAAAAATTTCACGTAATTATTTTAAGTGACACATAATTTTTCCCACCCTAAATTTCTATTATCTAGAAAACATCTGATATGTAAAAGTGCATAAATGTGAGTATCCAAGTAAATAAATTTTATAACCGTATAAACTCGCCTAATAGTCGATCCTACTATAAGTCGGGGTCCCTTTTCAGCTCCAAATTCTAAGGATTTAGTCTTGACCCTCGTATAAGTCGGACAAAATTTGGGCATTTTTTTTTTCAGCTGACAGTAACTGAACGCCGGTAAAACCAATGCAAATCCAGGAATAATATTCATTTCTGCATTAATGTTTGTTTGGTTTGAATTTAGTTGATGCTCATCATGATAATTTATATTGCTGTTAATAATAAAGATGTATTCATTTCTCTTGTTTTGTTCACTGTTCAAATGTCAGATAAGCCATGTGTTGTTTACGTAATGCATCAATGATTTTGTAGGGTATGACTAACAACCTATTGTTTGAGAAAAGCGAATGTAAACCAATATGAACCTGAAAAATTTAAAGTCAATCAACACTTGATGAAAATATTTTTCACAGCATACATAACTCGGTGTTAAATGAGCATGAACACTTCATAATTCTTATTATATTGTGATGATTAAAGGATTAAAAAAATTAAGTGAAGCTAATCAATATATTAAAATAACTAACTCCAACTCATTAGTGTCATCTGTTTACCTATCACTGATAGTTTTCACACCTTTAGTGAATACAACTCTTTGTCTCTTAATTGGGGTTATCAATGGATTATATTGGCTTGTCAATCAATTTTGTAATTTTTGTTTACCTGAGACACTATAATGAATAATATTTTGATTTTGGGAATGAATCTTAAAATTATTTTTTGATTATTATATGATTTATAAGCATTGAATTGATATCATGATATCACAATAATGACACAATAACTCTGCTGAAAACATCCTTTCACATATTTGGTACATTGTTATCTCCTTTTCATTTTTGGTTCTTGGCTCTTCTTTTGGGTTTATAGGAAAACCATGTGACCATGAAAATCAATACACAAACCGGAAACAGTAGAATTTCAACACGAATTTGCAGAAAATGTTTACCAAAGAACAAATAAAACACAAAGACAGTATTGAAGTCATTTATTTTCAACAAAAACTTTTTATTTATTGATTTATGTAGGTTTGGCAATCAAAAACGTAGTTTTGACCAGGAAATTCACTCCTGACCACTTTTCTCAAGCTTGGATTTTTCCTCTGGTCGCTAGATCTCGTCTATTAGTCGGCCCCCCTCTCTGGATTATGAATTTTACTCCCAATTTTCCGACTAATAAGCGAGTAGGAACGGGTAACCTACAACTTCCAATCTTGTTGAAAATGGAGAACCTGTACATAATTTTTTTTTCTTTTTGTAAAAATTATAAACATTTTCTCAAACATACACAAAAATAGTCTGAATTACATTCTTTACTGTTACAGTAAAATCACATAGCCCTTTTATGCAGCCACAGTTACCTGAAAAAGAAATATACAGAATTAAACGTAATTGTCAAAATCTGAAATTTGAAACAATATCAAATGCAAAATAATAAATAACTGGTCATTATAATCATGATTCATAAAACCTTTCTCTTACTTTGTTTAAAAGTGATTTGCTGATATATTTTTTGAACTACCAGTCTGTATTAACAGAAACGGATGAAAAACAAGTCAATGGTAGATGTCTAACATATTTCTTTCTTTACATATTGTTTTTTTTTGTATTGGTTCTTACCATAAAAGTCAGCTCCAATGCCCACTCCCAGCTTCAATCTTTACAGACAAGCTGTGATGCTAACCTGAAAAATAAAATTAGTCATTCAAGATTGCTTAAAAGGATCATTTTTGATATACTGTATGTATATTCCATATTTTGAATGATTGATTCATTTGATTGTTGGTTGCTAAATGTCCAATGGCAAATTAAATTAAAGAACCTAAGTGAACACGCTCACATACCCCACGTCCCCACATTGTCTTTGTAGAAATAAAATAAGTGTAAGAAAAAAAAAATTGTATCAGAAAAAAAAATTGAATCATAATTTCCTGTCAATATGCACATCTACATAGTATGTCCTTATTATCTACACAGTTTCATGAAATTCTGTTGTGTGGTTTGAGAGGAGTTGCGATGACAAAAGGTTGCAGTAGTATATTGGGCAAATAAGTTCAAAGGGGTGTAACTCCTGGGAAAAAAATTAATTCGTAATTTCCTGTCGATATGCACATCTACGTAGTATGTCCTTATTATCTGAAAAGGTTTCATGAAATTCTGTTGTGTGGTTTGAGAGGAGTTGCGATGACAAAAGGTTGCAGTAGTATATTGGGCAAACAAGTTCAAAGGGGCGTAACTGCTGGAAAAAAAATTGAATCGTAATTTCCTGTCGATATGCACATCTACGTAGTATGTCCTTATTATCTGAAAAGGTTTCATGAAATTCTGTTGTGTGGTTTGAGAGGAGCTGCGATGACAAAAAGTTGCAGTAGTATATTTGGCAAATAAGTTCAAAGGGGCGTAACTCCTGGGAAAAAAATTGAATCGTAATTTCCTGTCGATATGCACATCTACTTTGTATGTCCTTATTATCTGAAAAGGTTTCATGAAATTCTGTTGTGTGGTTTGAGAGGAGTTGCGATGACAAAAAGTTGCAGTAGTACATTAAAGTAAATAAGTTCAAAGGGGCGTAACTCCTAGAAAAAAAAATTAAATCGTAATTTCCTGTCGATATGCACAACTACATAGTATGTCCTTATTATCTAAAAAGGTTTCGTGAAATTCTGTTGTGTGGTTTGAGAGGAGTTGCGATGACAAGAAATAGGACTGACGGACTGACGGACAGACGGACAGGTCAAAAACATTATACCCTCCGCAACTCGTTGCGTGGGGTATAATTAAAGTCTATTAATATGTAATAGAAGTTGAGAACAGCAAACCAGCATCCCAACAAACTTTTACATAATCAAATCAGATAATTAAATTTACTCCTTTATTAAAGGCAATTAAAGAAAGCAAAGACTTCTTACCAAACTCATACAAACCTTCATGCTTAGAGCACATGCTATTTCCAAATACATTTTATAATACTTTTTCTTTTTTCAAAACAGGACTAACATACTGGTACATACCTTTGTATTAGCTGTATTAGACCACCAAGTCTTATTCCCACACCATGAAAACATATCACAGAAGAACCTAAAAAGAATTAAAAAAGACACATTATATATTTTACAAATCCATTTCTCTATAAATATAAAGTCACTATATAATGTTCTGATTTCTTAAAAAAAGTATACACTAGTACCAACACAAGTTTGTAAGATAAACTGTTGACAGAGATGTCTCACCTATCAGCGGAAAATGAAAAACATCTGATGATTAGCAACATTGCTAATTTATTCGATAATTTGTTCGTAATGCAAATAAATACAAAATGTCATTGATCTATAGCAAGGAGTAACTATTAACCTGACTAAACAGAAAACTTGACATAATAAAAATAAAACAAGTCAAAGGTTTTTGTTTGGAATTGAACTGCACAAAAGTGATGTGCAAATTTAACAGTTATATCCCATTGAATGAACAAATCTTGCTGTTAATTGTACTTGTCTCCCCTTGAAGTTTTAAATATTTTGATCTAAAATCTTGTTCAAGAAAATGGTAACTTAAATTATAAAACTTATTAAAATTAATACATCAATGGTGTTTTGCATGCAGAAGATCAGAAGGGTGCTGGCGTGTTGTCTTAATATGCACTTCTTGTCTAATATTTCTAGAAAATGTATACAAATATTTGGCTTAAATAAACTTGCCTTCTTAATTTCTTGGTAAAGCCTCAGACTTGGTTGAAGAGTTATTTGACCATCTTCCTTGGAGCTGCTATCCTGGCTGCTTTCAAAGGTTTTCCATCATAGTTTTTTATGCTAATCAGTCCACTGAATCCATTTTATCTAAGTAATGAAATGTCCTTTCCATTGTACATTATAAAATGTACAATAGTCACCAGAATGTTCAAAGGCATCTCACATTATTTTTCCAATCATGGAAACTGAAGAAATTCTCAATTTAAAATACAAATAATTTATTAAATTCATTTAAAAAGTACTGTAAAAATACCAGACATGCTTTTAAACAGGTAACTTGTATTTTGATAATTTACGAAATGTATTCTGTACCCCACAATTTCTTCCAAAAAAAGTACAGTGTAGTAATAGTATAATAAACACATATAAATCAACATTTTTTAAATATTTTGAAGCATAGTTTAATCAAAAATATCTCATTTTCAAGGTTTACTACTCATGTACATAGTAGTCATGTATAGTCCC